GCAGATACACTACCATGCAGGGCTTTATGGGAGACTAGTAACACCTTGAAGCGCACCCGGAGATCGACAGGTAGCCAGCGCAGCTCGCTACCTTTAATTCCACAAGTACAGCTATACCCTTGTGCATGTACATATCCCTTATATTTGGGCCGGGTTGAGAACAAGCAGAGAATTACATTTCCTGCTGCAGGGATTTCCTTCCAATCTGTGATCCCTCAAAACACCAAGTTGCAATGGGAGAAGACATTTAATTCCAAGAGCTACTGGATTGTGTTACTTTTACTTTGGGCTTTCTTCCCTGCAAAGTGCCAGTTGTGCACTAAATAGTCCTGCAGATGTGTGAGAATTGGGAGTGTGATTTTGAATGTTCTTCTGCAGTTTAGTTTTTCAAGTTCTGTGCTCTTAGATAACCGCAAAGACTGTTCTGACATAGGCTTCCCTAAAGCACGAAGCCAACTCCTCGTTCCAATATAACCCCTTTTATTTAGGTTAAAGGGAATTCTTCTCCAGCAAAGTCTAGGCAACAGTCTTTCATGAGATTTCACAACTACAGACCTTTATCAGGCTTGGAGAGCTGCCAGGCCGATATCTTCCACTCTGTAGCAGACAATACTTGACAAGAAGTCAGGAACAGGTCTTCACTCTATTGAATTGAACTAATTGTCTCCTGCAAACTCCCTTCCCCTTTCTCTCCTCTTTAATCCCTATGGGAGGGGCCATTCACCATCCATCTGTGCCTTTACTCCCGAGTCGGCCCTTGTTCCTTAACTGTTCCCTTCTCCTGGCAGCTTTGCACATGTGCACATCGGGAACAGGCTCCAGCTGTTCTTCTGCCTCACTGATCTCCGACTCCAAAGGCAGCTGGTAACTATCAGACTGCCCTGGCCCCATCTCTCTGCCTCCGATGCAGAGCACTCACCAGAGCCTTCCCCAGACTTTAGGAGTAGCCCAAGTTCCTCCCAAACCTCCTCACTGTCTGAGTCTGCCATCAGCTGCACTGGACACTGGCGGATCACAACGAAGAATTACCTAACCCTTAAAACATTGGACCTCAGAGAAAGCAAAGACTCCAGCAAACCAAGCTCATTTCCAATATGACCTTTATTGAGCACAAATGGCTGTGACTGCTTAACATCAAACAACAAAAGGTTGCATACTGTGCATGTCAACATAGGTTCTCTCACGGACAGAAGTCCCTCTTAATTGCACCAGTGAGGTAAACATAATTGTTAAGTAGCTTAAGGCTAGGAGAATTCAGGGTATTTTTTTTTTTGTTTTAAAAATCATTCTTTTGTTATTGTTTATTTGGCTCAGTTTATTCTTTGCATAATACATCTGAAGACATTCCTCAGAAGCATCCAAACAGCAGCTTAGGAAAATTCAGCGACGTCCCCTGGAACAGTAACAGCTCATGCATGATTTTTAAAAAAAACAAAACCCAAAAAGAAAATCCCAAAGTTCTGCAGAGGGAGTGCACTGGGCTTGCATGCATCCCCTCCCCAACCCCTGGGTATGGTATGGCACAGAAATCATAAATATATCAGAAAAAAGGAAAACCCTCAGTCCTTTTGGAGATGCCATGAGAGAACCTGTTCTGCTTAGAAGCCGCCACTTTCATGCATTTTTTTTTGCAGCTGTCGTATGGCTTAACCTTTTGCACTAATCCAAGCTCTTTAGAGAAGGGGAATTGATTTATTTTAGTCACCGTTTTCCTTGATTTCTTTGACTATGGCGTGTGAAGAAGTCACCTTCTCCACCGTCTTGGTGGACACCAATTTCTCCTCCACGGCATCATCATGTTCTTCTGTCTTCTGGGTGACGGTTACAGACTTGGTGATGTAGGTGGTGGTTCCGTCACCTTCACTGGTGATCTTCTCAACTTTTTTGGTCACCACAACTTTCTCTTCGCTCTTCTCCTTCTTCTCTTCAGAGGGGCTCACATCCAGACCATTGGTGATGACACCTTTATCTTCTTCTTGCTTTGAGTCATCTTCCTCCCCCTTATCGTCAACCTCCCCATTGATTGCTATGTCTTCTTTAGTTGATTCCTTTGAACTTTTTTCTTTTGATTCTTTTCCTGCACCAACCGTGGTTGCCTTTGTGGTGGAGATAACCTCTTCCACGTCTTTCACTGGGGATCTTGGCTTTTCAGGAGAAGCTGCCTTCTCTGGAGTCTCTGCCTTCCCTGGAGAGGCTGCCTTCTCTGGAGTCCCTGCTTTCTCTGGAGAAGCCTTCTCTGGAGTCCCTGCTTTCTCTGGAGATGCTGCCTTCTCTGGAGTCCCTGCCTTCTCTGGAGATGCTGCCTTCTCTGGAGTCCCTGCTTTTTCTGGAGAGGCTGCCTTCTCTGGAGTCCCTGCTTTCTCTGGAGAGGCTGCTTTGTCTAGAGTCCCTGGTTTTTCTGGAGTTCCAGCTGTCTCTGGAGTCCCTGCTTTTTCTGGAGTCCCTGCCTTATCTGGAGTCCCTGCTTTCTCTGGAGAGGCTGCTTTGTCTAGAGTCCCTGGTTTTTCTGGAGTTCCAACCTTCTCTGGAGTCCCTGCTTTTTCTGGAGAAGCTGCCTTCTCTGGAGTTCCTGCTTTTTCTGGAGTCCCTGCCTTCTCTGGGGAGGCTGCCTTCTCTGGAGTTCCTGCTTTCTCTGGAGTCCCAGCCTTTTCTGGGCTGCCTGCTTTCCCTGGAGATCCTTTGTCTGGAGTGCTTGGTTTTTCAGGAGATGCTATTTTTGCTGGGGATTCTGCTTTCTCTGTTTCTTCTTCTTCCTCTTCTACTGCCTCGCCCTCTTGATCACCCCCTTCATCTTCTTTACTTTCTTCTGTCACAGGTGATTTGGGAGGTGATTTAGGAGGAGATGTTTTCACCTTTTCTACCTTCTCTGGTGCAATGACTTCTTCTATATCTCCTTCAGGCTCTTCTGCTACTTCAGGCTCAGCTTCCTCAGCTTCTCCTTCAGCTGCCTCTTCTTCTGCTTCTTCCTCACCTTCTTCCTTTTCACTTTTTTCATCTTCTTTTTCTGATCCTTCTTGTGCCTCATCAGATTTCGCACCTTCCTCTTCCTCCTCCTCCTCCTCTTCTTCTCCTTCCTCTTCTGGGGCTGCAGCTGCAACTTCAGCCTTTTCCATTGCTATAATTTCCTCTTCTAGAACTTCCTCCTCCTTTTCTTCACTTGCTAGACTTTCTGCAGCCAGTTCTTCAGCCATGGCTTCAAGAGCTTCATCCAATTCAGATTTCTCATTCTCTACTTTGGTCTCTTCAATTATTTCTTCTACAAACTTGTGTTGGACCTTTAATTTTGGTGGTTCAGCTTTTGATTTCTGTATTTTGGTAGTTATTGTTACGGAAGGTTGCCTATGTGTGAACGTTGGCCCAGTGATGCTTCCAGAAAAGGCACTGAATCTTGTTTCTTCACCCTCAAGAAGTTTCCTACAGAAATAAGAGGGAAAATGTTAATATGCATCACTAATATCTCAAGGCAAAGGTGTGCATGCATATGTGTGCATATAGCAACAGCACTTAGATTTATATACCACTTCACACTCACTTTACAGCCCTCTCTAAGCGGTTTACAGAGACAGCATAATGACCCCAACAATCTGGCTCCTCATTTTACTGACCTCGGAAGGATGGAACTTGAGCCGGTCAAGATCGAACTCCAGGTGGTGGGCAGAGTCAACCTACAATACTGCTCTCTAACTACTGCGCCACCATGACAGGAATAGCATAGCAATAGCAACAGTCCTTAGACTTATATACCACTTCACAGTGCTTTATAGCCCTCTCTAAGTGGTTTGCAGTATCAACCTAGTGCCTCCATCAATCTGATCCTCATTTTACCAACCTCAGATGATGGAAGGCTGAGTCAACTGTGCACTGGTGAGAATTGAACCCCTGGCAGTCAGCAGAATTAGCCTGCAATACTCTATTCTAACCCCTGTTCCTTGTATACATCCTCCTGCACACCCAAAGACAGATGGACCTCTCTGTAAGAAGCTGAAATAGGTTTAAATAATTCTTTCTTTAGTAAAGAGAGCAGTGACATCTTGCGCTTCTTAATAGTCTTAATATTCTATTTCTGAACCACTTTGCTGATGTGAGTGGAAGAGATTGGTCATTAACTTCCAATTCATGTCTTCCTCTCAAGATTAAGAAATGTAGAGGAAACAACAACTGGCTCCGTTACTTCCCTTACATCTGCATAATATATATCTTCATTTTCCAGATTATGTATATTTCTGAGAGATCATTCATGAATGCAAAGAGGAGTCTACTTTTAGAAGTACTAAGAATCCTTGTACTGCTTTGAAGAACCTTTGCATTGGTTTAAAGAGATGTTGCATGAGCTGGAATGCAGATTAGGCCCACTGACCATTCCAAATATTTTTTTTAATCAGTGACAGTATACTTAAAATACATCTGAACTGTGCCCTTTACATAATTTTTTTTTCTGTTTGTAGTAAACTAATAACAAACTACAGTTGTTGCGATTTCCCCCAGGAACAGTTAGCAACTTTGAATGCCAACTGGAATTTCTAACTATTGTCTGCAAAAAATACTCCCTGTACTAAATTAATCCTTTTGTTCATTAAAGTGAACAAAAAATTCGAATCATTAAAATGAAAGCTAAGATTTCTATTAAGAGCAATTTCCTTTGCATATATGCATATTATCACATTCTAGCACTTTCAAAATAGATCTATGTTGGAAACAATTAAACTCTTCAGGGAAGTTTAAATATTTACTATAATGACTTATTGACATAGAACTAAAATCTCTTCCTGGATAAAAAAAAATACAGGCATATAGTATCCAGTAGCAGCATCCAAGTAACAATTTTTTTAAAAAAATCCTTTATTTATTACCATAGCCAACAAGGACCTATTGCATTATTTGTTTGGGAACCTGTAGTCAAAATAATTCCCCTAGATTAGCAATCTCCCGGAACTTGTTTATTTGACTTTTGGAAAAAAATCCAAAATAATCCTATGATACTAATGTGAAATTAAAAATGAAAACAAAAAAAAACTTTGAAAGTCCACTTTAATTTTCCTTTGGGGGGGGGTTCTAAAGGTGTTTAAAAGAAGAAAATCTTCCATTATGGGCTGCACCAGCTACATTTTGTAAAATAAGAAAGGGAAAAAAATGAACTTCAAGAAACAGCACACACTACTAGTCCTACTGATTTCAGCAAGGACTGTGTTAATATGATAGTTCCATAGCATAACAAATAAACTTAAATATAAGTTTGGTTGATTTCATCAGGAAATAATTAATAATTGCACTTAGGACAAAAGCATACTCCATTGAAACTCACAGTTGATCTCTTTCAAGCCAATAAATGTTCCATCAAAGGAATTGGGTAGCTTTCTACTACACAGAAAACAAAGTTACTTAAGCAGCAGAAAACATGATTACTTGACCAGATATCAATTCAAAGAGTGCTAAGATGCCAGTGAAACTCCCTGCTAGCAGTCACAGTGCCTCCGCTGTTGCAGTTGAGTTTTGCTGCAGCTAAAAGTGTCTGCAATCGAAATGCCTGTCTGGTTACATCTGCATTGCGTTCTCAATACCTGTAGGCAGCAATTTCGATATCGAGAGCCATCTTGACATTGAGGAGATCTTGGTATTCCCTCAAATGACGGGCCATCTCCCACTTCGTACCTCTCAGCTCATTTTCAAGCTGTTGGATCGTGTCCTGCAACCAAGACATAGATGGTTCTTGAGGATGGGTACAAAAAAAAATCTCAGGCACATTTGGACATGGGGGCGGGGCATGGAATTGAAGGAGAAAGTAAAGTGGGGAAGATGGCAAATTAGAAACAGAGATAAAAACAACCAGATTGAAAGTAGAATTAAAGGATAATGAATTCAAAATACTATCTTGACCAGAATTACTCTAATAGAACAATTTTTTTTACAGCATTATAAAAACACCCAGTGCTGAGATTCTGGAAGCTCAAAATTAAGAAGCAATAGATTGAGGAAAATCCTAGGATGCTATTATTCGTTTGTAGAGAAGATCCTTACTGGAGTATCCCTTTTATTAAATTTTTTAAAGAACTATTTTTAAAAAAAATAACTTTTCCAACCTGGCACTCTCTAATTGCTTTGGACCACAATTCCCATCAAGTCCCATAGTTGGCCAAGCTGGCCAAGGCAGATGGGAATTACAGTTTGTTGGGGGCTCCAAGCTAAAAAAAAGGCTGATTCTAAAAAATATCAACATTCTGATGGTTATCTGGACTCAGTTTTCCTTTATAAATCATGCCATTTTTGTGAAAATAAATGTTGGCATCTTGAGAATCAAAATAATCTCATTTGGGCAGGAAAGGGGCATCTTGAAAAATGATATCTTTTCTAACAACAAAAATGCCTGTAACTATTTGTACTGCGTAGACATCTTTCTCTGAGTCAGCACTGATTTGCCTAGTTTAGTCCCTGAAGTTTTGTTGGTAAAATTTTGGAAGTGGTTTGCCATTGCCTGCCTCCTAGGGCCGAGAGTGGGTAACTGGCCCAAACTCACCCAGTTCTGCCTAAGGTAGGAGGGAAACCAAGGTTTGCTGGTCTGTAGCTGGGTGACTTAACCACTAGACTAAACTGACGCTCTGCAGCAAAGTACTTAAGATTATTTATGTGCTGCAGCTAAAATGGTTAGCCGAGATGATTATTTTTTAACCAGTCTGAATAGTGAGAAGTAACTGTTTTTCCAATTTTGGCTCAGCCTCCTGAAAAGGATCTTTATCCAAAGATCCTCTGGAATAGCATTTCAATGACAGCAAGAAAAGATAATTGAGAGGCGGGAGTGGATATCACTTCCTCTGCTGTCTGCAGTTCAGTTTTGGCAAGGTAGATGATACAGCAAAAGTAATAATTATACCCTAATCAAATCCTAAGGAATTTAATACAGGTTAATATTAACGCTCCAGAACTCATGCAAACAATACAGTACTTAACACCCGAGACATATTTCCCATGTCTGTAAGATTTTCACTAAAAAAAGAAAAATATTGGGGCAAAGAGTTTGGGAAATCTCTGCAACTGGGATCTTCATGATATTCAGATAA